TTCCCATGAGATGTATTGGGAGTATTCCCAGAATTGCATCTAGTGCATCATTTGGAGTAGTGCGTAAAGCGCCCGAGATCGTTAGTTCAGCCTGTCGCTGAACTTTGTTAAGTCTCTGAAGAGATGAGTTTTTCGAAAGGGATGGCCACCATATGGAGACACCATATAAAAGTATGGGTCTGATTATTGCAAATTACAAATCTCTTAGTGACAATGAAAAAAGATACATAAAACAATGCCAATTCTTGAATTTCCTCAGACAGAACGCATATTAAATAGACCTTGCACATCGAGTATAGAATTATTTCCTTAAAAAACTTTGATTTTATCTTATGCAAAATAATTGTAGGTAATGTACAGCTCAATTCAGTGCGTTATATACGTTTGTACATATATAGTATCATCCGATTAATCGTGATGATATTAAACACTTCAGATTCCACTTCTGCCATAGAAAGACAGAATGGTATAAACGATTGTTAAAGATTTTTGCATTTTCGTTATATTTTTAAAACATTCAAAATTGTTTTCTGCGACAATGGCTCTCCTCTGTTTCCCAAAGTTCTGTTTGGGGAAAATAATTTTCTTGGTTATGATGTTGGTTAAAATATTTAATATGTTTTTTTTTTTTAAATAAAATCAGTGGCCAATCGACCAACTTAATATTATATACTACTGATAAGATCAAAGACGTTGACCTGAAAGTTTTGTAATGGACTTTGTTAACTATTTTGAGATTGTCTTTGGGAATTTTTCGCTCAACATTAATTCGAACCATATGTATGATTGCATTGCGTTGCAAACATGTTGATAACCGTTTATCAAATGTCATATCAGTCAGTACTTACATCATCATACAATTGTTGTCCCAACATTGATACGAAAAATGTCAATTGTTGAGATTGTTCGCTGTGCGACCAATTTGTATTGCATTGCAACATTCGCTTTATTTATACTTATTTGAAATATGTAAATAAAATTGTATTTTGTACTCCTGGGAGAACAATTTTCTTCATTTTCGCATGCTTTTACGTATTGTAATCATGATGGGAAATTTGACAAAACTGAAATCAATAACACGCATTTAATCACAAACCATAGTCTCTATGCATTGAAATAAAAGAATAAGTGTATTTCAAGTAGTCTCGATATTTTTAGCATTCTTTTGATGTTTTCTTGTTGAAATGCTTACACAGGCTGGACACAAATTGCGTGACAAAATTTTTGTAGGCGTTTCTTTGGAGTTTTCCATTTGGCAGCAATTTCGTTGAAGTGCGTTCTATACAATAACATAAAAGGCTCATAATGTGCTTATCTGTCCCAGCTCGGTTCATCCGTTTTGGTATTTTCCCAATGCAGAAATTGCAAATCTGATTAAAAACGTGGCTAATTAACAAGATGTAGTCACACATGTGGCACACACATGAACAACTGCGGCAAGTGGTCAACCATTGCATGCGGAACTACGATTGTGTTGTAATCAATGAGAGCAAAAACAAAATGAAAAGCGAAAGGTAACTGGAAAACGGAGAGACTGGAAACTGAACAAAAGAAGAGAAGAGAGAGCGAGTCACTCGATCAGCTCTCAAAAGTTTGATATTTCCGCATGAGTGAGTTTGTGCGATCCCAAATGTCGCTTTGCAATTGTATCTGTGAGACACATTTGTAGAAGACATAATAGATAGAAAATGTAAACAGCCATCCCCTTCCCCCCCCTTACGAGGGCATCGTATCACAATAATGTTGATGACTCAGCCATTTCGGGGAATCCAAAGTAGTGCTTTCAATACGAAGCAAGCTGCTACGCTCAGCTAACTGCCTTTATAATATGTGTAGTTGACTCTACAAAATTGGGCGTATTAGAATTGTCAGGAAATAGTATTCACTTAATATATTTGCAAGCTACTTCCATGTAAAGCAACCATTGTAGGTTTTAGAATAGAGCTAAATAAATTTAATGTAAAATGTAATGTAAAACATACACATAGCTTTCTTGATGTCCAAAATATTTATTTGACATTATCGATATTTATTTGCTTTGATCCACTCTGAACTTCCTTAGAAAATCTTTGGAAAAATAATTATAATTCTTTACTTTACTCTACTTTAGTAGTAAATATAAATTATCGTCATGTTGCAATCATTAAAGCCATGTTCTCTTTAAAACATTTATTATCTTTAAATAATTGAAATTAAGCAAAACAATACAAATTTATGTAGTTGATTTTCCAAATGTCGATGACTTTTGCGTTAATTCTAATGTATTTAAAAGCATTTGTAGCATTTGAAGCAGCAGTTTCTGAAAATTATATTCAGTTGGGGTTTGTGGGTTTGAACTTTCTGCTTTCATAATAAAGAATCAAGAACGATAATAAAATCTATTTAAATTTGTAATTGTTGTTTTTTGTAAATCAAATCGAGTTTTAATAATAACTTTCCTTTTACCTCTAAAAATTACTTTATGTACAAGAGTATTTAAAATTCGGCTTACCAATATTGGCCATTTATCTCACTTTTTTCATGTCTTGGCCAATAGGAGCCTTCATTTTTAATTTGCTCAACTTGTTTTTGGGTTATTGATACGCTACTGCTGCTGCTGCTCCGGCGCTGTTGTGAATGCCTGTCTTGAATTTTAATGCGTGGCCTTTTCCTTCACCTATGTAAGTACATACATACGAGTATATACACACATACATACATACATATGTATGTATGTATGTATGTATGCAGCCCTTCTGGTGCTCCTTTGTCTCTGCGCGGGAGCTTTGGGCGACCTTTTGTGTGACTTTTTTATTGCATGTATTAGACATAAACAAAGGTCTCCACTTGGCTTGCTTTTAACCACAAAAGATGCTCCGCACCCATGCTAACACCAGCGCAGCAGCCACAGCCTCAGCCACAGCCAGCAATCACTACAATTACAACAACAATGAAAGCAAAAGCTACAACTACAACAAGTGGTTTCCCAACACTCATAGTATAATTTCCACTACAACGTCGCCGCCTTTGCTGTCATTGTACGAGTATTGTCTGCTGCATGGTTGCTATCGTCATCGTCAACGATGCCTTTGACTCGTTCCGTTCGGTTCGGTTGTGCTCGGATCGGCTCGGCTCGGCTTGATTTGAGTTCAGATTCGGGTTCGGGTTCGGCTTGGCTTAGCTTTGTTTATTTTGCTGTTTGTTTGCCCGTTCGCGTGTGACCTTGAAGGCGAGCATGTGCCAGAATCACAAAGATGCCGTTGCCATCGTTGTTGTTGCTGTTCTTGCTCTTGCTGCTGCTCTGACCATAGGACTTGTTGTTGATGTTGCCGTTACTCTTGTTGTGTTGTTTGTTTCTTTCTTACGCTTTTCTGTGCATTCGATAATATATACAAAAGCAATTTGAAAACTTGTTTTAGTTGTGTGCGTATGTGTGCTTTCAACGAATATTTCTTGCAGCATGGATGTTGCGTCAATAAGTCAACTAATCAGGCATGCGTCAACAGAGCTTTTAATTACTCGACTATAGTTCAGATGTTTGACTCAATTTGGCAAATGGACCAACAAAAAGCCCGCCTTATCAGTTACTATGAACAAGCATTAATATGTGCTCTCGTATACTATATGTACATACGTCTTTTTTGCAGCATGTGTGCGTCAATAAGTCAGCTAATCAGTAAGTCAAGTTGATTTTGATGAGTTTCCCAGCCACGGTGGCGCAGTGGCAGAAGTGTGGCAAGCAATATATTACTGACATGAGTCAGCAGAGCTTAAACACTCATTTAATCAGACATAATAAATATGCATTAACATATACATATGTATGTATGTATAGTACATAGTATGTATGTTTGTAATAACAACTCGAGTGCCATATCGGCAAAACAAAAAAAAAAAAAAAAAAAAAAAAGAAAATATTAATTTGCTGCTATTTTAAAAGCGGTTCGTAGTTCCCCTTTGTTTTGAGTAATTATATAGAGGCATAAATTTTGTTGGCATGCATTTGGCCAAATTGGCACAAACTGCATTTGCCAAATACACACAAACAAATCATTGTGTGTGCCTACGCGGCGGCGTATACTTGAATTTGTTTAAACGTTCTTTTTAAATTAATGCGCGTAAACATTTTCAGTGCAGCTAGCAAGAAAATAACTCAATGATATACACATGTGTGTGTGTGTATGTGTGTGTGTTTGTAAAATAATAAAAATCCATGGCTTGTGTAATATTAACAAAAATATTAGTGCAAAATATTTGTTGTTTGTTTAAATGACCAAAAAGCTGATTGAAGAACGACGCGACGCGCAAAAATTGACTTAATAAATGCGCAACGACCTTAGTTTTGCCTGTCTGTTTATCGGCTTGTCTGTCAATTTTAAAACGGTTTGGGTTTTTCGTGTTTAAATTAGCAGATCGTATTTAAATTATGCCTCTGTGAGGGTCAAGTAAGGTTCGACAGCACTGTTATACTTGTAGAAGGTGCTGGAATATGTTGCAGCCACATCTGACGTCTTTTCTTCACATAAAACTCTCCACACTTGCCACTTAAAGTCCCCCTAATTAATCATCAGATTAACATGTACATATTACGTCACAGTTGAGAAATCCATAAAGAACGCACACGCAGCCGCAATCAATAAGCCAACAACAATAAACAAAAGTTAAAGAAATGGGCTATCAATATTTTTATACAAACACGAGCGCATTGTGTTTGCGACGGCAGACAGACGAATAAAAAACAAAAACAAAAATACAATTTCGCTCCACTGGAAGCGAGTCATAGAGCAGCAGATGAGTGGGGCAGGGGAACGGACTTTTGTGCATATCAAGTATACGCAATGTAAAACGATGTGATCGGCCTAGTCGCATTGTCGTGCAGAGACGCCAAGCTCACAGCTGAGAGTAATCGGAAGATAAGCATTTTTGTATGTATTGGGTGGACTGGAAAGTGAGCATTAACTGCTGCGTCTCAGACGCTCAACGCTCAGTTTGAAACTCAACTTTGCGCGCTTCAGACGTCGTTCGAACGTGTCGGGAGTTTTTAGTCGAGCGCCAAACGCAGCAAAAAACAAAACTATAATATATACATACATACGAGTATATGTGCATATTCACTAAAAAAAGGTGGAGAGTAAATAAAAAACAACACGAATGGTCAGTCGACGGCAGCGTGCAAGTCACACGAGCGTTGTATAATAATTACGAGTACACACAAAAAATAAAAATAAAAACACCGACTACTAATAATTAAATGTTCAGTCCCAGTGCTTGTGCTTGTCCAGTGAAGTGTCTGGATGCATTGCAACAACAACCACTTGTCTTTTTCATTTTTATACGCTTTATTAGCTCTGGTTTTTCAGTTGTTGTTGCTCATCTCGCCGCTGTACATATGAGTAGTACATATATAATATCGTAAATTGGCGCGTAGTTAGCCGGTCTTGTGTGTTCATGAGTAAGTGTCGCAGTCGAGACGGTGATAAGTAGCGTGACACATCAATATAATCCAAATATTTGACAGTTTCTTAATAATAAAATATATAAATGCACGTGCTGGAAGGATCGCTAAGCATTTTGTGAGTAATTTCATTATGTTTTGCAGATTTTTGTTTACTATTAGCAAATAATTTAGTACCGCTTCCATATTATGATAAAACAAACTTTCTGAGAAGCTGCTAGCTGCTTTTAATTGTATTTGAAGTGAGGTTTTTAAATACCCTCAACGGATTAATAATCAGTATACAAAAGTACATACATAGTCTTTCTGCGCATTTTGAAAATTATAATTGAAAATTCAATACATTCAATTCAATACAGAAACAATTGTACTGACTGCGATATTTTCTATTTCATAGTGTTCGCTTTAAAACTAAACACCGTTTCAACAAATTCAGTTAAACTGGTTCAAGACCCATACTTAGATTATCACTAACTATGTGTATGTGTGTGTGTGTGTGTAGTAGTCATATATACGAATAAATGCATATAAGCTAAGGCGCAGTTAGTAGTTGTTGTTAATAGCTATGCCTACACTCATACCGCATTCTTCCTCACATACAAGTATGTATGTTTGAATGCTTGTATTAATAGTAAAATAAACTTTTGACGAGGTATGACACTTAGTGGCGAAATTAACATCCATAATAAACAATACTGCTACTCACACAATAGCGGATATTTGAATTACAAGTATGTAGAGAGCATTAAATCTATTTAATTTACATACTATTTTTACGGTAGAGTAAGAATACAGTCATTTGCATTGTTATAAGTAATTTGAGAAATGCAAATACAAATATTTGTAATTCAGTTTAAGCTATAAAAAAGAGGTTCATCTACTTCTGGGAGCCGACAAAATGTTTAAAGCGATATAGAATTCAAGATTACCTCAAATCGTGTCATATCATTAAGTAGCTGTAAAAATACAATTAAGCCTTTGTTTTTATTAAAATTGCAATTAATTGCAACTTTTGGTTGGATTGGCCATTTCATAGTTGTCGTTGGAATCAACAAGTTTTTCAAGCGTCAAAAATCGCACTTTGATCAACTCATACGATTTCTGAAATTGTGTGTTCATTATACATATTTCGATTGACATATCGAACGTCTCGATTTATGTGCTGGTGCCTTCGCCACCAAATGGACTACCTACTCTACGATTATAAATGTAGATGTAAATACTATATTCCTGTATACACGGCTTTCAAATGGCAGTTCTAGTATGGCGCACATGGCAGACAAGTGCGATTTCAGTTGATTGAATGCATCCATATAATAGGATTAGCAAGAAATCACAATATGAAACAGATAAATAAAGTGCTGTATAATTGAATTGAAAATGAAGAGTGTACAACAAAAGTTCAAAGTATTATATGAAACGCTGATTTACATACATACATATAAGTATGTAGTGTGTATATAGGAAATAAATATGCATGATACTTGAATGTACGTAACACAATCACTTCTGGTCTTAAAATATATAATGGAACAATTTTAGTTTACGTTTTCAACAAATATGTTTAAATATATTACACTTTGTTTTAATAATACTCGTAGTTAAGAGTAATTCCATATAGCTCTTTCGGTTGCATATCTCTATCTCTATACCCATATATATATAATTTTAAATATTTTTGGTATTGGTACGTATTTGGCTATCCCTCGAAAAAAGTTGAATTAAAAATATTTTTGTTGTTACAAGTACTCTCATTTCAGTTTGGCTTTTGTTAACTGTTGACACCTTTGCTGTGGTTGGGGAATTCTATTTGCCTTAAACATACATTTTAGGAAGCTAAAAACGTGACAGATTAGGTTTTTGTACTCTTCTGATTTTTCGTGAATCTATTTCTATAATTCGTATTAATTTTTCTTTAAAATCTCGGGTAGGGTTTAAGTTATTAAAATAATAATAGATCTATCATTTCACTCAGTAGATGCTGAAGAGATGCAAATAGAATACTTCATATTTTGAATTGCTTCAGAAATAATTTGAATACTACTTTTAAGATTATTAGTCCTCCTCCAACATGGTCTTATATTTATTTGGCTGTCTGTCCATGACTACTTAGCTTCCGTATTAGCAACGCTTGGGACTCGTTTTTCTCATTATTTTAACATTTATCCGCCGCCTACTACAAATCCTTGAAGTAATTTCAATGATTAAAGGCCACAAAGTAAGAGTAGGCCGCCGCTGGGCTGTCGGATAGGAGTTGGACTTCAAGCATTTGGTCTCTTGGCCGTTTTAAGCAATTCAAAGACTACCGCAGCGTTTTTGCAAGAAATTAAGTCCTATTTCAAAATTAAAATGAGAACCATTGGCAAAAATTGTTAAATTTTTTTTTTAAGCTACAAGTCTGATTGATACTTATTTGCTTAAATATTTTGGATTTTGTTGTAATTATATAAAAATAAATTTTAGAGCATAAATTTGTAGCTTACCAGCACACGATGCCTGACAAAAATGCAATCTTTTACCACCAATTATTTTTATGTCTACTGGGTTTTACTTTATACTTTCTTTACTTAGCATTAATTTTTTTATAATGGAATACTATTTTTTTGTATTTGTTAAAGATTTAAATTAGTAACCATTTGCTTTCCATATATGTATGCTTGTTTTTGTTGTTTAGGTACCATTTAAATTTTCGAGACTAGATGTAGATGCATTTATTATGAGTTTTTTGTAGCTTCTGTCTTTTTGATAAGGGGATTGCCCAAAGTTTTGGAAATACCAAGTCGCTTTTGTGATGTGGTTTTCAACCCAATAAACCCAAACTGATTTCATGGTCAAGTTAAGGTATCAAGATACTACGATAGAGATATTGTCAGTAGAAAACATTGCTGTGCAATTTGTTTTGTTATTAAAGATTATTTATCATTTCGTAAAAGATTACAACCTTAATTTGTTGCATGGCTTTTGAGTCAAGTAATAATATTTATAAGAAAATATTTTTACCAGTTCAATTTCATTCGAAGCAGTGTTCTGCTTTTCTTTGTAGCTATATTAGCAACTTCCTAAGAATTTTAACATTCGCGAATACTTGCAAATCTAAGCTTATACTGTGACGCTAGTTATTTATTTTATAGTAGCAACATGCTAGTACAAGCTTATATGCATATGTATAGTTATAGATATAAAAGTATAAACAATTCGCAACGATGTTTTGCCAGTTAGTTTGTATATCTGTATTCCAATTGCCATTAATTTGTCTTGGCAGCTACGATATTAGCAATAATTTCCATATGTATGTATATTTATATGTTTTATATACAGTTTGCCAGATTTACATACCGGTTTTGAATACATACATATGTATGTATGGGTAAGCATAACGTGAGCGTGTTTTTTTTTTTAATAGCTTGTGGCGCTAAGCTTTTGCGCATTTGTAATCTACATTGGCTCGTTATAATGCGACTTTAAGTTGTTTAAATAAAATATATATACATATGTGTATGTGTACTAGCCGGTAATTTATGTTTTTAAAAAAGAATTCTGCACTATTCATGCTTTTCATTTTCATTCCAAGTCATGTAGAACTTATTGATGAAAGCTAACGTTTGGCACTGTAGAGAGATTTTATAGATGTATCTGAAATTAATTATAAATATCTGGTTTCCGTATTCGATTCCAGATGGTCATTCTTTAAGCTTCGCCCTCACAAATTCGCTTACATAAAATGTTTACAAATATAATTTTCACGTCGAAATGGAAACATGAATATAAAACTACAATTTCCATGATATGGAAGTGGGGGAACAATAGTTTTTGATCTACACGTAGTTTTTAAATTGTCCTAATTGGACATGAAAATGATGATCGATTCAGCAACACCAACCTAATAAATTAAAAAAGGTCTCTAAAACCAATGCAAATAAACATGATTAAATTTGAGTCAAAAAGAAGAACCACTTCTGATTCAAAATTCCTCTTTCTGATTCGTTTATATTTAAATATTTTTTTGATAGTATAATGGTTGTTCCTTAATACCTAGACACCCGTTGTCCTATCTGTGTGCTGTAATGTATATAAATTAGTTGTCTTTTTTCATGTATTTTGAGAAGTTATGGAGTGGCTGCCATGGGGCAACCTTTTTGCATTAGCCAACTGCAAAGTAGCCTTGTGTCTTAGTTACGCTACAAAAAGTATTCCTTGCCTTTTATATTAGATAAATAATATCAATTTTGATTAAATGTTAACTTACTTACTCATCCACTCCAACACCCTTGTGAGCAACAAAAATAAATGCCAAAACGCCAAACTTTGTTCAATTACTCAAGTATATAGGCTCATAGATGAGTGTGCTTGTGTGGGTGTGTGTGTGTAATACCTAAAGGGCCATATAAAAATGCATAATTTATTGATTTGAAATGTCGCTGCTAGAGGCAATACTTATCAGCGAGCAATATTTGAGCTTCAAAAAAATGACATATGTATATACAAATATCATAATAAATTTATTTAATTTCAGAAATAACAACTACTGATAAGCGGCCATACTACAACAACAGAACACGCTCCACACTTGAGCGAAAACTAAGACCTTCTGCTTAGTGAAATCACTAATAAGTAGTATAGAGTGCGACCACAACAATTTATTAGGTCGGGCACAGTTATTCTTTGCCTCCTATAACATTGTGAGTGTGTGCGTGCTTATCAACGCTGCCCACAGGGAATACCCGAGCAGAATCAGAAATGGCACAATCAAATGGTAAGTAAAGTAACTTTTGTAAGCCTAATAGGATATGCTGAATAGTCAATAATTAATGTTCAATGCTCGATGCTCGATGCTCATTGCGCAATGCCATGTGCAATAAGCCAAATATTTGTGTAGGAAAAATGTAAATATTATTACAAGTGCTGAGGTGAAATAAATTAAAGAAGGAAACAAAGAATAATAGAACACGAGATAAGTTTATAAAAATTGCCATGGCATCTGGAACATTTCGTTTATTTCATTTGTAATCAAAGCAACACACGTAAGATGGGCGGGAAAAAAACGGGAAAAGGCTTTGCAAATAACAAACAATAAAGTCTTTAAGACTTTCAAGCAAGGCAGCAAATTTATATACAAATTCAAATGTACAAAAATACATACTTGTATGTAGTTGCCAGGCATTAGTCAGGGTCAAAACTTACTCGAATATCGATTTGTCTGGCATGTGTGAGTGTTTGTGTGCATCGAACTTATAGCCAGATCTAGTGGCTGAATCGTGAACTTTTGCTTTCGAGACCAATAACAAAAGCTAAATAAAAATGAAATGAAACGAAACGAAACGGCAGAGCCCAAGAACTGTTTTACTAATTTACCAAAAGCAAACAAACAAAACACAAATTTCACACCTTTCGGCCAAACGCGAACCAGCACGCACATGGAATAATACTCACACAGACACATACACAGATACACACACACACACACTCATGGTACAAGCAAACAGTCATTCGATCTGCATGGCATCTAAAATTGCCATTACCTTGAAATAGCATTGGAAAATTAGCAGAAATAATGCGTATTGTTATGTTTTTGAAATTAAACGCCGTGCTGTGAAAAAAGAAAATAATCAAACTTTGCGGCACCAATGGCAACAGCAACAGCAACAACAACAACAATTTGCAACAAAAATAAACAATTAAGCGGCATAAAACCTTCCGAGCAACTTTGTCATGAAAGCTATTGGCAGGCGACTCCCTAGAGTCTAGAGTCTAGACTCCAGGGGAATAATGACCATTGGCATGCGCAACACGCATACGCAGTGTTGGGCGCGCGAAATTAATTTGAAATATTTATTCCACCGTCGCTGAGGAAAGATCAAGTAAAATTGATTGAATTGTGCACAAAACTTTTATGGCACAATAATCGAATTCTGCGGTTCTGTTCCCTCTGTGCCTTCCTCAGATGCTTGACTCTAGATTTTCCTTTTATAACAATTCAATCGTTTTGCCGACTGTCTGCTTTTTGCCATTTTCCAAACATTTTCTTTCCTGCCTTGCTGCTGCTCGGTGTGCTTGAAAAGACATGAAAATCAATTTTAAGCTAATTGTATTTTCAGCGCATACACACATATATATATATATTTCTATATACTCGCACTGTACATGTGCAGTTTGTGCTTTTTCAAAGTGTACGCGCCTTTTGTAGAAAATGTTGCTCAGAACTGAACCAAAACAATGTTGTTCGAGTATGAATGAAGCCGCAGCTGAATTTTCTTCTCGTTCTGCCGTAAATATTAATTGCTTTTTAATTAGCTGCGCACATTAAAGGTTTTCGGTTGAGCGATGCTTTACACATCTCTGCACAAATCGGCATAACAATTTTCTCAAGCTATTTAGCAACTACTATTAGCCTGCAAAATGCCCCTTCCGATCGAATCTATTTTTATTCTCTTCGTAAACTAAATAAGCCTCTGGCCATTTGAAAGCAGCCAAGTGAGTCATTAAGGAGTGCTCTCCCTTTCTTGTCTTAACTAAATCAACAGCGACATCATAGAAATCCAATGGACCTTAAAATCCCAAATCATGTTGAACTATAAAAAAAAAAATATTGTATCCAACTAGTTGCCAAGTGGTTTTGAATTTCTTAATTCATTTTTAAGACGATATATTGTTTGTTCTAGCTCAGAATTGCTATTTATTTTCTTAATTAATGGAATTTTAATACTGCACTGAAGCTACACGCAAAAGAAAAGCTAATGTATGAAATGCTGGTTCTTAGTTTCCAATATTATTTAGGGAATTCCTAATTGTATTAAAGCTACGATTCTACGAATAGTTATAGGTATATTTTCTTATACGAGTAGTTAAAGGCCTTCCTAATACTGGACTAAGACTGGTTATTAGTTTCCAATATTATTTAGGAAATTCCTAATTGTATTAAAACGATTCTAACAATCATTTTTTCTTTACTCAGAATAGTTATAAGTATATATTCTTATACGAGTAGTTAATATCCTTCTTAATACTGGATTAAGACTGGTTATTAGTTTCCAATATTGTTATAAAAATTCTTAATGTTTTAAAGCAATTCTACGTTTAAATTTCTATTTAAAAACGACAAACAATATTCCTTAACTTAGAAGAGTTATATATTTTCTCATACGAGTAGTTAATGGCATTCCTAATTCTGGACTAAGACTACGTGCAAAAGAAAAGCTAATGTATCAATGATAGGTGGTTAGTTTCCACTAATCTTTATAGAATTCCTAATTGTAAATATATAAATATTTACACTACAATTCCAGTACATAGTTCTCATATTTGTTGCTTGTACTATATAAAATACCAGCCTAGTATATGTATTTACAAATAAGAGGGTAAAATAAGCTCTGGAATTATTTACACTATTTTTTAATTGAGTTTTTTCTTCATATGGGAACTGTTATGGATTGATAGATATAAGCAAAATGCAGATATTCTACGCATAGCTATAGAGAAATGACTACAATGGGCTTATTAGATTGACTTTTTGGCGAGGCAGACATAGAGAAAAAATATTAGGAGGGGAAGAAAAGAGAGGAAAAATAAATATGCATTATTCATAAATAAATAGAAAATATACGTATACTCGTGCACGTTGAAATGCCGCCGCCCCATAAGCTTAACTTTGTAGATGTTCAATTTAAGTTTCCTAGAAATAAAACAATGTCATTAATAATGAATGCATGCTGTTAATACACTTTGCCAGTATTTCAGTAAAAACAATGCTGGCAGTGCCGACAGGTGTGTGGGGAGCTGAAGTCGCTTCGGTAATGGCCTTCAATAAACGTACAAGTATATTAAATATGTATAAAAGGCACGTGTGATAACTCAATATACATTAACTTTGGGCGCTGTCATAACTAATTAAATGAAAAATCAGCTCCATGAGCCAAGTAAAAAGAATCAATATAGGCGTTGTCAGTGTGCGTTTGGGCGCCTGAAAAAAATAAACGAGAGCTTGTTGAACAATTGATAAAGTGAGTGGACAATCTTTTGTAAATTAATTTTAAATACTTATTTAATACAGTTTCTAACACTCACTGACCTTTTGATAAATTTATTGTACGCCTTTCTAAAAGATGTGAAAACAGTTTCAAGTATTCTACAGAGACTACAAATCTGTTTCATTAGAGCTGTTTTGTTAAAAAAGGCTCAGCTAAAGGACATCAGCCTGTCAGTATCTGGCACTTAACATTTGTAGATACCCGAAGGATTAAAAGGGCGTATGTATTAGGTTTGGGCAAAGTATATAACAGGGAGAAGGAAACATGTCCGACCCCATAAAGTGTATATATATGCTTAATCAGCATGACGAAACGAATCGATATAGCCATGTCCATCTGTCCATCTGGATGAGCTCTTAGACTTGCTATGTAGACTCTCCTTAACCCCAGGCCACATGAGGTTAGTTTATTTATTTTTTTTGATTTTCCCTTCCTTCCCCCGCTACTCAGGGTCGTCAATACTGCGCATTATCTCCAACGCTTCAAGAACCAAACTTTGTACACGTAATAAATATATAATAATCTACTTCTGTTTTGTATTTTATCCAAATCGGTCAGTTCTAAGAAAAGTTATTAACGAAACAATTTCTCTTAAGTACTACACTTACAATGCTCCCTTCTTCTTCTTCCTTTTGCTTCAGCTATGGGCGCCTATACCTCAGCGGATTTTTATTTGGACACAGGGTATTTAATTGTCGGGCTTGCTAGACTGTAATATTTTCTTTTGTTGTGCTAAGCTAAGCTCGTTGGCTAGACTGATTTGTGTCGTAATTCTGATTAAGGATTGAGATGCTTCTCCCTGTTACATACACTTGAAAAAAACCTAATTGGCTCATTATTATAACAAGAAAGGAATGCTAAAGTCGAGCAGGCTCAACTCTTAAATACCCTGTACCACCCCACAAAAAAGTAATTAAATTAATTAATTAATTAAATTTAATTAATTAACTAAATTAATTTAATTAATTAACTAAATTAAATATAAAATATTCCATGCATGCATACATACATTTACATTTACATCAGAATCGTGCCTTATGCGTGTTTGTGTACTTGTACATATGTATGTATGTGTGCATTGGGCCTGGTTATATGGCTATAACTTTCTTTCCGATCATTCTATCATAATGAGACTTGGTATACGGTTATATAATAACTAACCTAATGTGACTACCAAATTTTAGTTCAAAATTCCAAGAATTACGGAAGTTATAGAAAATCGTTAATAGGGGGGGAGTGGGGGGGTGGATCAGAAAAAATGAACAAACTCGTCCTTTCTCGGTCTCAGGAGAATCTGTATACCAAGTTTGGTTATTCTAGCTCTTATACTTTCGGAGATCCTTGCGTTCATACAGACAGACAGACGGACAGACGGACAGACAGACGGACAGACAGACGGACAGACAGACGGACAGACGGACAGACGGACATGGCTATATCGACTCGGCTTGTCATGCTGATCAAGAATATATATACTTTGTGGGGTCTACCAAGCCTCCTTCTGTGTGTTCCATGTGCACTCGCACAAAACTAATATACCCTTGTACCCTTTTGGGTACAGGGTATAAAAACTGTTATAAAACGTTTACAAAGAAAATGAAACGTTAACGAAAATATCTACTCTTTTATATTAATAGTGTACAATTGTTGTTCATAAATCCTAATAATTCCACCTTAAGTAACGCACATTTATCGTGTAAGCCAGTCGGGAACATCCGTTTCCAAGGAT